ATATGATGCACTGGCCCGAGTAACTACTGATTAATATTGAATTTGTAGATGATAATCTAATAAAGACAATTTTATCTGATATTTTATCTGCCGTCTACTGTAGAATATTGGTCCACCAAATAAATCATCGCAGTTTTAAAGTTGTCCCATTATTATTAATTCACTGTAAAATATCTGGCTAATGTTCTTTGATTTGATCATTAACAATTATTAGACACACACTTTTGATTAGAATTTTATTTATTCTATTAGTAACTACCAAAACATATCATATCACATAGATGTACATGCAGTTATTATAATCCCAGACGTCTTTTCACTGCTGACCACGCTCTTCTGATGTACCTGAATCTAACACGTCTTCTTTGACTTTTCACAGGCTTTGCATATTCTTGTAAGGTCGTAGAACTTTTTGATCTATTTGAGGTTGCTTCACTGGTGATGTCTGTGTGACCATCAAGTCCGTTTGACATTTGTGTTTTGTGTCGAATCTTCATATTTTCAGTTTCTTCTTCTACAGCCTGTCTGTATACAAAATGTCCAAACGGTCTTTCAAATTGGGTCTGATATTTAACAACTTGAATTCTAGACTATATCGAGGTACTCTTCTTCAACAAAGATATACAAATCACGAGCAGACAATACGTACAACTTAATAAACGATCGTATAAATTTGTCTCAGCAGTTCAACTTTACATTTATACAAGGTTTACACTATACATTACTGTTGTGTGATTTGTAAAAATAAGTATATTTTCTTTTCACATTGGGAGTAATAACAAGAGCAGAATGACGTTTTCTAACGCTTTCTACGGAATTTTAGTTTAAATGTTTAAAAACAATTTCTCACAAACAGGGGTGGGTCTAGCATGGGGAGTCAGTATAAATATTGTATTTTTCTGGTTTATTTGTTTTTACAAAAAACGAACATAGTAAAACATTTTTTTAATAAAAATGCTCACCTTTGCAAAGGTTGTTCACCCTCTTCATCTTCCTCGTATATGGTATGCGGGATTCCAAACATATGCATAACGTACCTACTATAATCGGCCCTCTCACTGTACCCAAAAATACATATGTAAATATAAACATATAAACAATGATAAATACAAAGTGGCTACAAAAGAAACAAAGTAGAAAGCCGCAAATAACACAATTAAAGTTTTACCGTTTTCGCTTTGCAATGAATTGTTGTTGCCGTTCTTGCCGCCGTTTCAATTCTTGTTCTTCTTGTTCCCTTTCTTGTTTTTGCTGTTGATTATTCTGATTCATTACATGCTGCTTGCATAGTAATAGTCGTAGTTGATGTAGCTTCTGATTCTTCAGAATCTGCTGGTAAAGCTTATCTTGTTCATCATTTTGTTGGAGTTGTTGTTCTAGAGGCGACTGTGAATAACAAATATCTTTTAAATACGCAAGTCTATGTGCAGCAATGTATTCTAGGTTTTTAATTGTCAATGACTGTTTTAATCCATAGTTTGTTACTGATTTTTGGACACTTCTCTGAGGTGTTGTATGCATGTAATAATTCAGATAAAAGAAGATTTTTCAAATAGTAAATATAGCTGATAGATTGACAAAATTCAATTAACGAAAAATATTATTTTTTTTTAAATATACTTACTGATTTTACAATAGTGGTAGTTGTATAATCCGATGTTCCAGGAGGGCAAGGTACCATTTGAGATTTCGGATCCAATGGATATCCCGAGTTTTGTATATCATTAACATATGATACATTGTCTATTCCCTTTCCTTCTTGCACAATCTTATTAACATAATGGTCATATAAAAAGCTTTGACGACGTTGGACTAAATTTGGTTCTATCTTCTTAACATAATGATCATGTAGAAAACTGTGGCGACGCACAATTTGTTTTGAGTCTGTATAGTCTTCTTTGTATTTTTGGTCTGTTCTGTCACCATTTGGTGCACTTTGTACTTCACTTTCCTGACACATCTTAGCATTATTACACTTTGGTTCTATACAATATGGCTGGTGTATCTTCATTATCTTTAAAGAAGATGTGCGACTTGCATGACTCTTGGTATCACATGATATGTCTTGTTGTGAAAGGTATTGCACTGGCATCTGACATTTATCTTTATGTTTCATCAGTGAACATTCGGTGATATTAGATTGTGTATCACCAAGGGACAACAAACTCACTAGTACATCATTTGTCAAAAATGCATCACCAGTTGAGGTGATTTTACCAGTTGCAGTGTTAGTACGTTTGTGATCATCAACTAAATTTGTATCACTTGGCAGTTTAGTGGGAACAGAATTGTTTCTTGATTGCTTGAGTTTTTCATTCTGATTGTTTTCATCGTGAACAGAATTGTGAACAATATTAGTGGGCTGTTTTGTCAAATTTGGCTCACGAATATAAGAACTACTATTATGTTCTTTGGTTTGTTTATCAATTATATTGACGGAAGCTACATCACTGACTCCAAGTGTTTGATTCATTTGTTCTTTCAAACTTGTGTTACTATCAGTTGTGTCACAATTTGAATGTGAAACATCACTGTTACAGGTGACCTGTTCACCCCCTTCTTTCTCGACTTCCAGAATATCGCTTTGATTACCACTCAGTTGTTCTTCCCCACTCAATTGTCTCTTACATATCTCGTAACATGGCTGTGGTGGTAGTCCA